AAGAAGAAGAAGAAGAAGAAGAAGAAGAAGAAGAAGAAGAAGAAGAAGAAAGGGGGAGGATGGAGAGAGAAGGAGAAACTTCAGCAAATCTGTTAAATTAAAAAAGGACTGAAATATAGAAAGCCCCAAAACAGTAATTTTATCCAGGTTCCAACAGACCTCTCGATTTCCGCCTGGTTGAATTCTCTTCCTTTTGCCTTTATTATTTTTTTTTCAACTGGACCAATACTGCCTAATTTCCCACCTTATTTAAGCAAAGGCACCAGGCCAAATCAGACCCCTAAAGAATTTGAGGGGCCTGTTTTAATCTGCGTTTCCAAGACACACACACCCCCTTGCCTAGCTGGAACGGGGGAATAATTGTGGTTGTGGAGCCACTGTAGAAAACACACAACCCCTGCATTGTCTTTACAAGTTCAGGGCCAGTTTGGGAGAAGATTTGTTAATTCCCATTTTCTGTGGGAACAGAGAGGTTTTTTTAAAGGGGAGCGGGCCATGAGGCTGCCAAGAAGGAGCGCGGCTTGGCTTCTTATTATGTTAAACTGGCAACTGTGGCTTTTTAAACAAATCAACAACTTGCTTTTATTGGGATTTATTTATCCAAGGCCAGACACACACACACACACACCCAGCACCAACCTCCCCCTCTCTCTTTCCAGCCCCTATGCGCTTACATAATTCATGCGGACTCAGCAGAGATAACTGCCAAGGTATGTGCATGGGGGGGAGGGGTATTTTTAAAACACCAAGCCAGCTTTTTTTAACACCCTGGCATGGATATATATATATACATATGCCTTCCCCGAGAATGTTCCCTCTCTGGAAAAAAAGAGAATTGCACTGAGAAGGGAACAAGGAACAATCTGCTGCCTTCAAAATTAGGAGCATCGGCCTGCGTGTCTTAAAAAGCTGAGATCCCAAAAAGCAAAAGATCATTTCGTGGATTTTAAAACGTGCGTGCGTGCAAACAACGCGGCCCTTCTCGTTGCTTTTTTTGGAATAGGTTAAACACAAACACACAAAACCAGAACACATTTGCTTTTGTTTCGTTTTGTTTTCTTAGGAAATCTTTTATATTGATGTTGATTCCTGGAGAGGGTTTTCATAGTGTGTTACTTTTGAGCTCCGCTCAAAAAAATAAATATTCCAGGAGAAAGGTGTCGGTTTTCAACTTGTCAATTGCGATAAATATAAGCCCATGATTATATTTTGGGGTCCTCTATGATGTTTAAAAGTAGGAAGGGTCCCAAGTGCGAAACATTTGGGAATTGTTCTAATTTTTCTAAAAGTCAAGATTTAAACCAGTGTTTTTTCAGTCTTGGCAAATTTAGACCTGCGGACTTCAATCCTAACTCTAATACACTACATTTTTATATGTATCCCCATTTCACGCCTGCTTATTCTCTTATGATCCCTTCCGCTGCAATCCCACCATTCTAGAGACATGGGGAAAAAAAGACATGGCTGGCCTGGGGAATTCTGGGAGTTGAAGTCCACAGGTCTTAAAGCAGCCGAGGCTAACAAACCGACATAAAACTTTAGATATAAGCCAAGACCCCATTTTTAAGACACTCACTTCAGCACCTGGAGGACACCTGGGGGCAGAGAGGTGGGACGGACCACGCCTTCGGCGCTGAGCGTGCCCAGATGGACCTGCGGATAATAGACCGCCCGGAAGGCCAACCTTGAGGACTGCAGCCTTGTCTTGATCACTTCCAGAGGGCAGGTGAAGATGGCACCCACCGTCCCTCCGCATCTGCAACATTCGAAGTACCGAAAAAGGAAAAGGGGGGAAAAAAATATATATTCCAACGTTAGGGGGGAAAAAGAGAGAGAATAAACCCCAACATGACCTTGTATTGATTAAAAAAATCAAACCTACTCTGAATTCTAATTAAGGAAGATAAGCTAGAAGACGGGCTCACTTTATGTGGTGCACAGTATCCTGAAAGCTTGATATGAAAAGAGATAAAGCGTTAGGTTAGATCAGACCCGGCTAACGGCAGCAGCCTTTCCTCAACTTTATGGATTAACTAGCTCGATACTCATGCTTTGCTACGAAACTATGTGGTGGGGCTTAGTTTTGGGGGAGGAAAATAAGGGGAGGGGGAATTGCGCCTCTGCCTACCAGCATCCATTGGTATTCATCTCTGGTTAGCGTCCTGTCGGTGCGTGAGAGTTGAGGGCTGTTTGGAGACTGAAACAGTATTTGCTGTGTGAGCAAGAAGACAGCAAGGAGCCCAGGCGTGGCTGGTGCTCTATTCTGATAGATTGATTGAAACTTCAGGATGCGTAAACGAACAGCTTCACCCCAGGGAGAAGAAAAGGGGGGGGGGACCACTTTTTGCTGCACTGCATTTTGGGGCCGTCTTGCAAGCGCATTCTTGCAAAGCTGCAGGGTTTCCGGAGGCCATTCAAGAAATGGAATGAAAGTGAGAAAGGAATACAAGGACCAACTTTGCCTGGTTTTTTTTGCAAACAGCTGCGCCAGCCCTCGGTTTCCCCCTCTGCAAACCAGCTGATGGGAGACCCCAAAATGTTGTCGGCCGAATTTACAAACCTCCAGGCTTGTTCAGCCACTGGAGAATGCTAATGTCATGCCCCTGTCAGAATCTGATTCGGAGGGGGGGGGAGACCAAACAGCTTTGCAAACTGAAACTGCATTCCATAAATGTTTTCAAAGATAGTAACTAGGTGACTGAAGTTTTTGCCAGGGCAAAATTCTAGCTGGAGAGCATGATTGATGACTCTGGGCTATGGATGTGTCCCATTGGAGAATATATGAATTATGATACACCCGGGGGGGTGGGGGGAAAACCAAGGTCAAGGGGGACAATGAATTGTGTGTCTCAGAGTCGGCTGCACCCAGGCAGTGCCGGACATGTTAACTCCCAATAAATCCTTTTTAGGTTTTGGAAGTTTGGTTCGAGACTCCTGATTTAAATGCTGGAGCCCTAACAGAAGCGTTTAGTCAATTTGAAATCTCAACACATTGGACAAAAGTATTTTTTTTTTTGCCTTTTTTTTAGCCTGGGGATTCTTGCGTGGCTGTCTCAGGAGTTCTGGGAGTTGAAGTCCACAGGTCATTAAAGGGGCCAGAGTTGTCCAAACCCTTGTTTTTCAAAGTTTTTTTTTTTTTTTTTTTTGCAAAACTGACCAAGAGTCTCAAAAAATAAGATGCAACCCTTCCCTGCCAGAACAGATTAATGTTTAAGCCGTACCAAGCTAGCCCTGCTCTGAAGCAAGGCTTGTGTTTCAGTTGCATGTGCCAACTGGGGGAAAAAACAACAACAACCTGCAACATCCTGAAATTTTTAAAGACAAATCAAGAGGTTATATTCCCTCTCATTATGCCTCATTATGAAACCTTTCCTGCCCAAAGTAATTATTTTCAAATCCAATCACAGGCTAGGCCGTTGCCATTTCCCATTTGACAAATGCAAGCTTGCAGGATTGCACGAAACACGTGTCAGGGTTGACCAACACTGCAGAGGCGTTGGGATTACACACCCCATCGTCCCCGTCCTGCTGGTGACTGAACGGCTGCAGCAAGAAAAACATTTCTGCTTGCATGCGATCGATTGGAGCAAGGAAGAGAGTTGAAACCTGTTAGCTCTACTGCTCAAAGCAACAGAGACGTAACTTAATTTAGATTAGCAGAGTTGGAAGGGGACCTTGTAGGTCATATAGTCCAACCCCCCCACCCAAGCAGCAGACCCTACGCCATTTCTGACAGAGGGCAGTCCAGTCTCTTCTGGAAAGCCTCCAGCAAAGAAGCTCCCACAACCTCCGAAGGCGATTTTTGTTCCATGGGTTGATTGTTCTCGCTGTCAGGAAAAGTTTCTCCTTATTTCTAGGTTGAATAATCCCCTTGATCAGTTTGTTCCAGATAAATGTTCTCCCATAGAAATGCAGTTGGCGGATCACAACTTCCTACAAAAATCACAACCTTGCACTTCCCACAAGTCTGAAGTCAGTGCAGGATATCCTTCCTGATAATTCTGCCTTTATGTCAACCAGAAAATGTTTTGCTTTGGAGCACCGATTGTCCACGCTGTATCGCTGGAAAAATCCCATGTGTTCCATCGCTTAGATACCTTTTTTTTTTTAAAAGAACCTGCTGGCTGATACCAAAGAGATTTAATTTCCATCGTGCCATCGGCTTTCTAAGAAAGAAAATAACTGTGCCCTTATTTTACGAAGTTTGCACACCACTAAATCCAGCAAAACTTTTACAAACAGACAAAGCCATTCCAAAATGGAAATGGACTCTTTCCGCATAACCAACGCTACTTGCCTCCAGCAACAGTAGCCGCCTCCCCGCAAAGGGCAGATAGAAGTTCAGAATCACAGAAAGAGGAAAAAGAACAGAGATCGTGCCAGTGAGCCCAGCTACATTTCAGAACCATTCTGACAACTTTTTAAGTCGGCCTATTTTGGGAGGCCGGGGGAAAATCACCAAATACAAAGTTGAGTTTCAAGGATTTGGCAAAGTAAAGCAAGCCAAGTAAGCATTTCCTGTTGCTTCAGAGAACAATGGAATACGTTGCCAAGAATAAATAAATTAATTAATAAATTAATTAAAGTTGCCATGCTAAAAAGTTTTAAAAAGCCATGTTCTTCTTCCCAACCACGAGCCATCAGAGAGTCGGAAGCTCTTTGATTTCGCTTTTATATATATATATGTATAAAGATTAATACTATCATTGTCACCAAGATTCTGTGTAGAGCAAATGGACCCAGACAATGTTCTGTTCGCTAAGTATGCAGGAAGGAAAATAAAATTAAAACAAAAACAAAACAAAAAAATCCCAAAACTATCTCTGCTGGACTTCAAAACGTCAAGCCCTTAAGTTCACCTCTAGCGAAAGCCGCTTTGCTGCTACTAAAGTCAGCAAGAATTTATTCCGACTTGATCTTGCTTGATTAGATCTAACTTCAGCAATCTGCAGTCTTTCTTCCCCCGCCCCTTTATGCTTTCCAAACACAACTGCTCGAGCCAACTTGCGAGGGAACAGTGGGAAGAGATGACCTTAACAAATCTCAAGGGAGCCACATGGGACAAAGCAGCAGGGAGGGACAATTTTAGGACATTGTGTTTCGAAAGGAAGGGAGAAATGCAACAATTGGGAGTTGGTTGGTTGGTGTGTGTGTGTGCGCAGGTGTGAGTGTGTGTGGAACCATTGCTCATTGAGCAGGAAAAAAAAATAAGACACAACTTTAGAAGGGCAAGGAACAGTCTGACACAATTAGCTCTTCCAAGTTTGCTTTTTACAAAGGGCCAGAGTGCAGAGTGAGGGATTTGCAAAAAAAAAAAAAAAAGTTAGATACATAAAAGTTTCTCGCTTTATCTATTAGGAAGGACATCTGGCTCTGAAAAATCAGATTATTGTTGTTATTGTTATTAATCTTCAATTTGATTCACCGTATGGGACTGGTAAAAACTTAACAGTTCGAGTCCAAAACCAAGAACTAAGAGCTGTTAAGATAGCACCTGAGTATATAGGCAGTTCCAAGTAAGGTGGGTGTTTCGTTTAGTCAGAATATTCAGATCTAATAAGTTCAAAATTTCCAGGTATCTAGGCAGCCCTTTGGGTATTTCTCCAAGGGCTCCTATTTCTATTGGTACACCCACTGGTTTTCTTCCCCCATAATTGCTCAAGTTCAATCTGCAAATCACAATATATTATTTTTTCTAGCTGTTTCTCCCCAATTCGTGCATCAACTTGGGTTTACAATATCAATGAACCACACTTTTTTCTTTTCCACAATAATGAGGATCAAGCATGCTAGGGGCCAGATTTCTTGTCTGCTGAATTCAAAAGTCTCACAAGATCTTGACTTGTTCATTTTCAAAAACTTTTGTCAGTTTGATGTTCCTCTTATTATTATTGTTGGTGGTGGTGGTTGTTATTGATTTAATCCTCAGTTTGATTCACAGTCTGGGACTGGTAAAAACTTAACAGTTGAAGTCCTAACCAAGGATTAAAGAGCTGTTAAGATAATCTGAGTATATATAGGCATTATTATTATCATTATTATTATTTTCATTTATTAATTAAACATGAAACTCAGTCAACTGAACATTTAAAAATGTACCCCAAATATCATTGACTAGCGCTTATGGTTGATACAGGTTGCTGCCAGTATCTTAGGTATCAACCAAGTACATTATTATTATTAGTAGTAGTAATAGTAGTAATACAGTAGTCCATAAAATGGTTTTCTTTGCACATCAAGACTCCGCAGAGAGATTCAGAAACCAGGGGGGGAATAGTTTTAAAAAACCATCTTCTGGATGGGAAAAAAAACCTTGTCAAAGCTCCCCTTTTGTCTTTTTTGCCCCCAGGAGTATTAAATCCCAGCTATATCCAGGGATTAAACCAAGTCTGCATTAGTGCCCAGAGACACTAACAAAGATAGCAACGCACTCCAGAAATACATACTAATCTTTTAAGAAGCCTTTTGCCAGATTCCATAATCTGCAGGTTTCATAATCTTATCACAGTAGTTTCATAATGACCTCCCATTTGGGGAAGTGTCTGTGAATCAGATATGAACCACACCTACTGAATTTGATGTTCACCACCGTTCACCATAGCTTTTCGATTCTTGGAGAGTATCTTTTCTTTTCTGTACCCTGAGAGCATTTGCACCAAAGACAAATTCCTTGTGTGTCCAATCGCACTTGGCCAATAAAGAATTCTATTCCATGCTATGCTATTCTATTGCCCCCGGACTAAAAATTCTGATTTTGACAAGAGGAAATTGAATTCCCTGCCCCACTGAACAAACCATACATATAAACACTACCTACTCTGGGCAGACAATCTCATGCCTCTAATTATAACTTTGTCTGCTTGAATCAGTTACTTCACCCCCCAAAATCGGTGGGTCATTTCGTCTCAAGTCGTCGCCTTTTGCACAACTTCCTTGGGTTTTAAAAAGTGGTTTCTCCCCCCCCCCGCCTTCCCTTTCGTTCGTTTGTTTCAGGGTGTGTTGCGTTCTGCAAAGCGGAGAAATCTTTGGAAAGGAAAGAAGGATGCCACGGGCGATTTATTGGCTCTTGGCGCCATGTGTACCTAGGGAATCTGATGCAATGGGTTGGAGGCAACCTGGAGGCTGAGCTGAGCGCAGGGATCGGTCCCGGAACCTCCCACCACCGCTGGTTAAAGGTAGACTGCTCCTGTCCATGGGAGATCACCGTATGAAGTGTCGGGGCGGACAGATGAAAAAGGAGAGTCCCGGGGAAGGGAAGGCGGGGAAAAATCAGAAAATCGGGGAGGGAGAGGTAGGGTTTAACCTGAAAAGGAGAAGGAAGGGTGGAAATTCTCAATGAAAGGAGGAAGGGATGAAGAAAGGGAGTAGACAAACAGAGGGAGAAATGAGGGAGAGAAGAGATGAATGGGGAAGGGGAGAAACTGATGAATGGGGGCGTGGGAACCGAGGGGAGAAATTATGAATGGCGGCGTGGGAACCGAGGGGAGGAAAGCATTGAATGGGGGAAAGCCTTGAAGGAGGGAGGCGGCGCAGGACTCACCCCCCGGCGAACAGATGAAGCAGCGTGCTCTTCTCCGCCGAGACCCCGGCCATGCCCGCCGCCCACCCCCCCACTCAAAAGCCGGCCTCGGTCCTTCCCGGCGCGGCGCGGCGCTACGAACTGCCAAAAACTCCGGAATGCCCGGCCAAGGAAGCTCACCCCCCTCCCCCGCGCACACACGGTCGCTACTGCGCCTGCGCCGTCGCGTCACGCGATGCCGGCGCCTGCTTCCACGTGCGGAGCGGGCCAACCACGAGGCCGGCGGAGGCGCGAGGGGGGAAGAGCGATGACGCGGAGGGGGGCTCCGAGGGCCGCGATTGGCTGGCCGGGGAAGGCGGGGTGAGGCGAGGACGGAGAGCTCCGGGCGGGGGGGGGGAAGAGGGTGACGCAACAGAGCCCCCGGCGGGAGGCCGGCGTCACAAAGGAAAGGGGCGTGGCTTCGCGGAGGGGGCGGGCTGGTTTGTTTTTCTTATGAATGGGACGCCGTGGCGGGGGGGCGGGGGTGACCCGGGGAGGGGGTGTTCGCGGCCTCCAAAAGAAAAAAGTGGGAATCACAGCTCACCACTTGGTCCCCTTTCCCAGGGATGTGGGACTACAAGTCATGCCATGCGCAGCTACTTGGATGGGGATAAGGGAGGTGTAGTTCCCCCCCCCCACTCTCGTTATCTGTCTGTTTATCTCTATTTCTTTATCCCACTGTCTGTCTTTCTCTCCCTTTCTCTCTATTTCTGTCTGTCTCCTCTCTCTCTTTCTCCCTCTCTCCTTCCCTCCCTCTCTTCTCTCTCCCTCTTCTCCCCTCCCTCTCCCTCTGCCCCTCTCCATTTCTCCCCCTCTCCCTGTCTCCTCCTTCTCCTCTCCTCCCTCTCTGTCTCTCTCTCTCCCCGTCCATCTCTGTCTCTCCCCCTCTCCTCCTCACCCCCTCCCTTCCTCTGCCCTCTCCATTTCTCCCTCTCTCTGTCTCTCTCTCCCCCTCTCCATCTCTCTCTCTTCATCTGTCCCACTTTCTCCATCCCCTCCCTCTTCCTTTCTCTGTCCATCTCTCTCTCTCTCACACACACACACACACACACACACACACACACCTTTGCCTTTAGTCCCACACTAAAGTTGTTCCATTAAAGCTCATTTTCCAGCGAAGGCCAGAGAAAGAAGAAATGAGAATCTAAACCGTGGTGGTTTGCAACAGTCCATTTTAGCTTAAGCCAGGATTTTGTCCACCTGGGCAAACTTTAAAAAGGGACTTCAACTCCCAGCATTCCCCAGCCAGCATTTTCCAGCAGGTTTTGCCAGAGTGGACAAAACACTGGCTTAGAAGGTGACTCAGCCACAGTCAATAGCGCCTAATGCTGCAACCTCTCCTTTGAACGTTTTGAAAGAAATAAATAAAGACAGAACGGTGTATGGCAGGAAGCCAACTTTGCAACACAACTTTTTGTCTAGAGGCGCCTTTCCTGGGAAAGAGGAACACGCGAACCTGGTGTCACATTGCAACTCAATGCGGAGAGTCACCGGGGCCACTTTGGCAGTGACGTTGGTCTGACAAGACACTTAGCCAAAGGAGAAGTGTGTTTCTGTGTGTTTGTGATCCACACCCGCTCTCTGCCTTTGGAGGAGAGAGCAGCTGTTTGTCACATGATTCCCCTGAAAGGAAGGTCAACTTGGAAGGAGAGAGGAAAGATCCGACAACTGCTGGCCTCTTCATAAACAAATGCAAAAAAGGGCAATTTTTTTTTAAAAAATCAAAACTTCCTAGTAAAAAACACAAGCAACCCACAACCAAGTTATTTATTCAGTTGCTGTGGAGGTTAGGTAATCTATCAGCTCTTTCCCTGGTTATTTTAATGTCAGCCTTTACTTTTTTCATAAAGATAATAAAAAGGTGTGATGAATTAACTTCCCCAATTATGGCATCCAACACATTGCTGTGCTTCGGTGTCCTTACTGTGTGTGTGTGTGTGTGTGTGTGTGTGTATGTATGTGTGTAGTTTTCACGGGTACTTACATGTATGGTATTCAGCTTTGTTCGGGTATTTTCCCACGTCATTGTAGTTGTGCTTTTAAAGTTGTAGCAATATTTCAACAGAATCTCATCTGCCATACACCCTCTAGATTTTTATTAAGCTGCTCCCAGACCGACAGAACAATATGGAAAGTAGCACATTTTCAAGAAATTAATGAAAGCTGTTTGCTTGACAGGCGGAAAGTGTGGCTATTATTTCAATTTTTTTCATTTGGCCCTAAGGATAGTTTTGCTTTATTCCCGAATAGCTAAATTAAAGGGAACCATCTTCTAATCTAGCACTGGTGTTGAGTCAGAGGAATTTTAAACAACTGGCTCTGAAATTATAAAAATATCTGAAATTCCCTAACAATCCCTTCCTTAAATCCCTATTCTCCCCCAAGAGCTTTAGCTGATAAGCTTCTCCAGCATCAATATACAGACTTTTGCAAGACAAGATAAGATGTCTCGCTCCATTCAAGTTCACAGATGGCCTTGTTGGCCTTTGGGAGTTCATCTGAATTTAGGTCAGATAAACTTGTTTGCAGACCCTGTTGATTCAAGGATCATGGGGTGGTTTTGAAAGACTCTGTCCTGGAGGCAAACATACTTCTGGACAGATGACTTTAAAACCTTCACCTTTGGGACAGTGGCATATTTCCCCATCCAAAAAAAAAAAAGATATTTTTTTTAGTGCTTAAAAATAACTTCCGGATGATCTGTAAGTCAGTGAAACAGACAGGGAGGGAATAAACAGAATTTGAATCCCAGTGGTGTTTCAAGACATTATGATTCCCATAAGCTTGTGGCACATTTTAAGCCAATTGCCAAAACCAGTAATAGTAACAAAACTTCTGACAGATCGTTCAAATGTGGAGAATAAAACACACCATGCATCCAAATGACCATTTTTGTTCCCATCCCAAGTGGCCAATACCAAAGGAAAACCACGTTTTCACCACTGGCTTTTTAAGGACAGGCTTAACTCACCAAAATGCGGCTTCTCTGCCAAATAATTATTTATAATCCACAACGTATTCTCCGCACAGAGAACGAGTTTCTCCACTTTGGAAAGGAAATAATCTTTTTAACAAATTGGAGAAGGGAAATGTGATCCGTACAAACACTACTTTGCGAAAGAGGCAAAGCGGAGCCCAGAGAAAGCAAAGAGAGCAGTGAAGAAAATAGACCCAAGCAAAAGGCCTCTGCCTTGTTTTATTACGTACTAAGATGCTAGTCCTCGTGATTCTGATTTTTAAAAGGCTGGCTCTGATAACCTGCAGGATTCACAGGTACCTTGGCTAGTGTGGAAAGTCAGCACCCACCCCTCCTAGAAGAATGAAATATTTTGAGGAATAGTTTTTTTTTTTAAAGGCAGAATGTTATATTTTCCTGAAGGAGAAATGGAAGAAACATGCTCTTAAAAGACAGAAACCAGGCTCACATCTCCCTGCCCGCAAATAGATACTGAGGAGATAGCTTTTTAGAAATGCAGATTTGGTAATCCATTCAAGACAGGATTTAAAAAAAAAAAACCCCAAGGAAGTCAGCATCTCTAGAATTTAATTACATTTGTTAAACAAGATTAAAAATCCAAAGAAGCCAGCAACTTTAGACTCATTGCCACGCCCCAGCCTTGGGGAGACAAACTAATTAAAATCAAATAACAAAATACACACAACGCTAAATTACAAAAAGTCTGTAGAAAAAAAAAAAACACTGAATCAAAATCCACGTTGGTCAGCTGACTCAGGACTGCCGATGGTTCTGTTTTATCCTTATACCATCTTTCCAATCACCCTCCCTGTTTCTAAGCATCTTCCTCCCAGCCTGGAACGGAACCAGACGGACATTTAGAATAGAATAAGAGAGTTGGAAGGGACCTTGTGGAGGTCTTCTAGTCCAATCTCCTACCTAGGCAGGAAATCCTATAACACATCAGACAAAAGACAAAACATCTATTTAAAAACTTCCAGTTTTTAAACTTCTGGAGGCAAGGTGTTCCACTGATGAATTGTTCTAACCTTCAGGAAATGTCTCCTTAATTCTATGTTGGATCTCTTTTTGATCAGCTTCCATCCATTGCTTCTTGTCCTACCTTGTGGTGCTTTGGAGAATAGCTTGACTTCCTCTTCTTTGGGGCAGCCCCTGAGATATTGGAAGACTGCTATCATGTCTCCCCTGGTCCTTCTTTTCATCAGACTAGACATACGCAGTTCCTGCAACCGTTCTTTGTATGTTTTATCCTCCAGTCCCCTAATCCTCTTTGTTGCTCTTCTCTGCATTCTTTCTAGAGTCTCAACATTTTTTTTTTACATCGTGGCGACCAAAACTGAATGCAGTACTCCAGGTGTGGCCTTACCAAGGCCTTATAAAGTGGCATCAACACTTCACGTGATCTTGATTCTATCCCTCTGTTGATGCAGCCTAGAACTGTTGTTTCTTTCACTAGCTTGCCACTTAGTGGGGTTACGCAAATCCACTTTTCCGTATTGCACCCGCAAAATTTTGTGCAAATATAATTTAAGGGCCAGTGTTCTGACTGTGGGAAACTTTAGGATGTCCCTTGTCCCGTTGCAGGATTTAGGAACTAAGAAGGAGGAATGTAATTTTTCCAGCCACCACAAGCATGCTAAAGAGGCACACAGATTGACTAATCTGGAATTATTTGTGAAACACAAGAGGATAAATAAATAAACCAAGCCAACTGTTTTTGGCTAGGCTAAGCAGGATGAGACCTCTGGATGTATTCCATGAAAAAAAAAGAAACAACCACAAATTCCCAGAGCTGTAAACTAGAGTGGGAAGTTGAAATCTCATCCCGGAATCGTTGAGTCTCTCCAATAAATAAACATATAAAATAAATAATATGAATCCAGATGTTTTAATCCCTTTAGCCGCCACCAGAGGGCAGATAAGGCTTAAGAGAATAAAAACTCCATCCCAAAATTTAAACTTTAAGAGAAACTAAATTAGATATCACTGTTTTTTACACCCTTGTGACACTGGTGCAAATTTCTCTTTGACAGCACAAAGTCACCACGCAGGTTCAGAAACACACAAGGGAGTTGGCCAAAACATTTCACAAATGGAAACCTCCGAAAAAGGAGAAATGAACAAATTCTCTCTCTCC